TGAAGGCCAAACTTGAAGTCAGCCCCGAAGTAGCCCCACTGCTTCCATAATTCTTCTCCTTGAACCTGAAAATGATTGAAAACAATAAGCTCGTATTGACAACAATGGAACAATGAAAACGTTGAAGAAAAGAAAATAGGAATATAATAACGCAATTTCTAATTTAAGTGAATAAAATGTTAAATATCCGTAGAAACTATCATAGCAGAACAAAACTCTAGAGGACGAAGAAGAGCTTAAGAATAGCATACTTCTTGGCTACTTTGGCAGCAAGTCTGCTCTGACCAACTGATACACGTAACTTGCCATTTCCAGCCTGACCAAGCATTCCGTATCCTTCCCCCAGCCCATCACCTTCAAGAAAATGTCAGAAAGAGTGAGAAAGCAGTACATGGCCTCCCAGGTGCAAAGCCCAAATCAAAGCATGGAAAGTAATAAACTTTAGTTAAAAAAGAAAAAAAAAAAGGTAGAAAACAAGAAGACATATTTTATTCTGGAAACTTAACAGAACAGTTCACTGTGAATAGAATGTAAAAATAGTACTTCATGAAATGTACAATAAACAAACAACAAAAATAATAAAATAACTCTTTTTCCCCATTAAAACTTGGAATTGGCTACATGAACAACGGTCTTTTGGTTAATCGCTACATCTACTTGAAGATCCAATGCAAGTAGATATTTAGCAAACAAGCGAATCAATGTTCCCTCTTCTAATATATTGCATTACTTGTATGAAGAGGAACCTCTTCAGATCTACACAATGCATGCACCAACCACCTATCTCGTCATTCCCTTAATTTATTCTCAATGGGTGCCACTTGATGTATATTCTCATACCTCAAGTTCAGAATATATGGATAATGAAAACATAAAAAGAATGCAACCCATGAGTACAATAAAATTACAACTGAATAATGATTCATAGTAGATTTTCTTAGATTTGATATGAATACCTAAAGAACTCTCCTCTGGAACTCCAAACTGCATCCTATTCGCCAACTTCCGCATATCTGTAATAGCATATCTGATGAAAATGAAGAGTACATTAGCTTATTTGATTTTTTAAAAGCATAATTTCAGAATAGAAAATGGATAGCATATCTTCTTCATCTTCTAAATAAGCTGTAAGGAAAACTCTCCCACCTTTCTTTCATCTTCCTCAGTCGTCGACCGCCTCTCTTTTTCTTGGGCTCAGAGTCAGGAACTGGAAGAGGTTTAGGCTGCTTGGCAGGAGGGGGCTCTTGCCACTTCTCAATCTTCTTAAGAATCTCGTCTCGGAAAGATCTTCCATTTTTTCCGGTTGGATCTCCTCTTGTAGAGTCTACACGTGCTGCGAGTGTAGATTTTGCCGCCAAAAGTCGGCAGGCACGCATCCTCAAGGAAGGAGGAGTGCTCTGAAATATTTCTGTTTGCTCTAGATAACCCACACGAAATTGAGATGTTGCTGTTGAAAACCCTGCCAAGTTCTTCTTTTTGGCGCCAAGAAGCTGAACATTACAAGCGGGCATCTTTGCTAATGCAACAAGACCACCAGCAGTACCCATAAGTTTAGCGGCAACAGCACTTCCAACTATAGCAGAAAGATTTGGAGCAATATATCCCATTCGACTCTCCACAAAATCGAGGACCTTTTTCTTTGCTGAATCTAGAGCAAGAGCCCGATCGCATGCATCAAGTGTCCTTTGTAAAACATCCTCTGGGAGTGGTTTGCCACTGGTAGTTGATGCGGTTACAGAAATGACCATAATAATAGCAGATGGTAGGAGTCCTTCCAGATCAACAAGGGTCAGATCCATCTCATTCCCAATCTTTTTAACTACCCGAGCATAATCAATTGGGTGATGAACAAGAGATTCAAGCTCCGGAAATTTCAGGCGATACTTATCACGGATAAAATTGTGGATGATCACTAGTTCATTTTCAATATCGACCGACAAAGCATTACATTCAACTATTAGCTGATACTCTGGATCATCTTCCAAAACAATTCCTTTATCTGAGGTTTCAAAACCCTTTTCATCTAGTGCATCTTCAACTTTCTGCAACAAAAGATGAAATTACTCGTCAATGTATACTTACAAATAGCTAGCAGAACAGAAGGAGGAGGGTCTGAGGAGGGAAGGGATAATACAGAACTCTCAGATATAACAGACATATAGAAGAACATAGCTCGCCAAACAACACAAGACAAATTAGAACAATGACTTCAGCCGAGAGGAATCACAATCAACAATGCTTTTCATCTTATTATGTGTATTGAATATGGAATACAAGACGATGAACTATAGAGCATAAAATTAAACAAACCTGCATAATATCAGTGTAGCGCTCTGTTTTCTGTAGTTTGGAAACACTATCCAGATCATCGTAATTAAGTGCTTCTATGTCTGCCAAGTCCCCATTTACATCTTCTTCCATGTCCTCATCTTCCCCATTATTCTCATCCTGGAAGGAAAAAACTATCAACCCAATACCATAAGAAATAACGGAAGACTTGGATGAATTCTGAATTGCAACAGAAATACAATGAAACCACAACTAACGAAGAAGTCCTACATTCAAAATAGATTCATATCTGCATGTGAACATATAAAAAATAAAAGAAAAGGCAGATGGAATAACTCACAAGATTAGCCTCAGTATCAGACAATTCATCGAGATCTGCCAGGAATGAATCATTAAGAGTTGCCTGAAACAAATGACATGCTGTTAGTTTCAAAGCTCATAAGCTTTTTAAGCTGCATAAAAGCTATAGAAACTAAAATCTACCGTGAAGTTAGAAGAAATATGCTGTGTGAAAACAAAAAGAACAGTGTAATCCTGCATAAATTAATGCCGTTGGTCCAAAACATAAATCAACAAAGTAGAATATTCCGTGGCATAAGAAAAAGGTAGTCTGCATGATAATTAGATGACTTTCATTCATTTTGAATGCCTGAGTTTGGAATCAATTGCGGTGGAATATATAACATTTATAAGAGACCCACCAAATTTTATGGAGTAGTGCTGGTTAGTGGGATCAATGGAAGAACAAATTATATTATGCAGTTCGGAAGAAATGGTGGTCAATGACATAATTTATGATCAAGCAGTACAGAAAAGGATCAGCTGTTTGATACGATGTGTCACAAACATGTGATATATGGGATCAAATCCGGAATTCCAGTAGTCAGCCAGAAAAAAATGCATGAGATACTAAAGAATGGGGATGCTAAATTATTTTTTGCTGACAGTATTCTTCAATAATTAAAGCAGTATCAACAACTCCACAGCCATCCAATATTAAAGAAAAAGGAAAAGAAAGGAGAAAAAAACTTCATTAAGGAACAAAGACCTGACGGCAGATCTCCTAGATAATGTCAATCGAAAACTTTATTTGAAAGCCATGAATGAATAAGAAATTAAGAGCAGAGAGAATCAATTATTCTTATTCAACCGAGTTCTAGCAAGCAGCATGTCAATTACACACCAGAGGTTGGTAAGAATTGAGGGACAATGCGGCCTGACCTAAGTGAGCCTACCAGCGAAGCAACTGGTAGTTGATCGGGCGGGGACAGTTTGGTTTCATGCAATGCCCTCGCAGCAGGAAGAGGCAGTTGTCATTTGAAAGGTCAAAAGAGGAATTTTTTGCAAACAAGAACTCCAGATCATGAAATGTAGAAATATACCTAGCAACAGACCAAGCTCAAAACTCCCCACTGACATTACTTTCTCATATGTCACCTTACTTTGACTTCATGTCTAAAAAATTAGAAATAAAGCCAGAAGTTCTTAGAAGATGAAGTGCACAATTCATTTATGCTCATCTTCGTCTGTTGATTTTCTGTGTGGTTTAAGCACTATAAATTTATTGGCAAGTTATGGTCTGAATTTAAAGAAACAGAATTTATTTCCCCAACACGAGACCATTTATGAGGGCATAATGGCACTTCTGACATCTTCAGCTATTTGCCTGAATTGAAAAGGCTTCTTAAAATTTATTGTCTCAGTTCCACATCAACTAAAAGTGGCAGACGTCTCTACAAGCCAGAGAGTACCAGGTCGTCTCAAAGAAAATAATTCCATTTTTAGGAACTCAAAGAAATGGCTTTCTATTTGCTCAATAAGATCCAGAAATTCGTTTCAAATCGGTACGCATAAGGTACCCTTTGAAATGAAATGAAGTGACATCATGCTATAATAAACCCAGAGAGTCTAATATTATGAACTTCGCATAATCAATTCCATAGAAAGATACATAAGTGATCAGAAATATTCAACGGTTAAAGAAAATATCCTAAAATACTCTCCGCACTCAACATAATCTTTACCAATCTTACGAAATTATATACCACGTGTTAAAAAGATAACTCAAAATACTCACTACACTCAAAATAATCTCTAGAAGTTTTAGTTTAACCTAAGCAGACTACTTCCAGGCTATAAACATTCACAAAAATATGCAAATACATAAGCAAAGAAAATTTTGACAACAAATTTAATCAAAATAGACGCAATTACCATTATTTAAGCTTCTTCCGAAGCAGCCAGAACGGGAATCGAAATCCGAATAAAGAATGTGTTTCTGCACAAAAATCAAACACCCAGAAAAAAATGTGATGATAAATTTAGAAATAATTATCAATAAAATAAAGAATAAAGAATAAGAAAACCCTCCAAATATTACTGAGAATACTTACCAGGAGACAACCGCTGATCAGAACTGTTCAAGAAGAATGATGAATTTTCACTTATTTGTTAGATCTCCTCCAATACAATGACGGGCCGGGTACGCCAGCCCAATTGTTTCAATAGGGAAATTAACACAAATAGCGCTAAACAGTGCACGCGAACGAGTTTACGCTTAGATCTTCTCACCTATTTGGCCTCCGTTTGGCAAAATTTATAATTGATTATATTTCATTTTTAATTGTACATTTTAATTAATTTATAAGTACTATTGACTTACTAATTACTTATTTCTCTATCTACTATAAATTAAGCATCCATTTGGTAAATTAATAAATTGGTCAATGTTCCTCTTTCAGTGGATATTAAGTATTATTCACTTAACCATCAATCATTTTTCTTTTCTATTTAGAAATTAACCTGTTCAAAAAAAAAATTTCTAAATGGAGGCTAACCGTATATAAATTCTTCCCAAACAGATTCTTGAAGAATTTGCATTTACTGAACACTAAAAATTCACAAGGATCGAAAAACTATCCAACATAGTATCTTCACGGTATTGGAATAAATAAAATAGAAAATAAGTTATGGTCGAAAAAATTTATTCAACTTGGAAAACTATGATTCATTGACTTAAATTGTAAGAAAGACTCAATCGTGTAAATATAGAAGATTACATGAAACTTCAAAAAATAATGAAAATAAATAAAATCATATTTTACTTCTTTTTGGTTGGCCTTTTCCTCTATTTTTGTTTGTATCTTCCTTTATTTCGACCAAAAAAAAAAAAACAAAAAAACAAAAAGATTATTTGTTGCTTTCATCTCATTTTCTCTCCTCTTTCGCTTCTATCCCGTGTCGATTAGTGGGTGTAAATGGGTTCAATTGATGGCGTTGCTAAAAACGTAGTAAGTGTGTGTTTAAGGGAGAGGTCATGGGGAAAATTTTTCTTTATTTTTAATGAATTAGGATTATGGTTATTAGTCGGCTCTCTATATCAAGAAATAAATTTTCAGTTAGGGTACGTTCGATTGCAAGTATGGAATTTGCATGAAAATAATGAAATTATTAATTAAATATGTTTTATTGATTTAGTTTTCAATCTAAAAAATTATTATACTTGTTCATTTTTTATTAATGGATAAATAAGAGAGAAAGGATAGATGAGAGAGAGAAAGAGAGAGTAGATTTTTTGAAAAATAAAATCCTAACGGATCTAAAGAATGTATTTTTTGTATCTCAGTTGGGGCCAATTCTTGGATCAATTGTGGATCAAGCTCGAGGTGCATTTGTGGAAGGTAGGAGTATGTTGGAAAATATACATCTCGCACAAGAGCTCCTTAGACAATACAATCGTAAGAGAGTTGCTCTTAGACGCTTTCTCAAAATAGATCTTAAGAAGACGTATGATTCGGTCAATTGGGAATTTCTCAAGAATGTGTTACACGGCTTTGGATTTCCTATGAAGTTTATTGTTTGTGTGATGGAATGTATTTCTACTCCTTCGTATTCTATTGCTCTCAATGGAAGCCTTCGTGGATTTTTTTAAAGGAACAAGGTGTTGGGAATTTACTTATACACGCACAGCGGAAAATTAAATTTATTTCGATTCCCATCGAGGATTCTTTTGTGTTTAGATAGAAATCTTGATAAAGATTGTGCCTTTGAAGAATTTTGCAAATCTTTTGCTTTTCTTTTCATTCCAACAATCTTGATTCGCCACTCATAACTGTCTAATTGTCCAGCCTCCAACGGTGATCCACACAGAAAACAAAATTGCAGCTATCGGGGTTTTCTTCTTGTGCCAGCAAGAATAATGAAAACCATATGAATTGAAAACCCTAGCCTTTTATTTATATAAGCCCAAACGAGCCTGCCCCGGTCCTGTCCAATATTTAATTAAACCATTTAATTAAATTCGATCCATGAATTAATTAATTCTTTAATTAATTCAGTTAATTAATTCGAGCCTATAAATAACCATCTCAATTAATTAATTTATCCAACGATTGTTAAATTAATTAATTGATAAATTGCAATCTTCCAATTCTCTTTTGTGTGTGACTCATCAGGCTTTCGATCACGATGTCTAACGACGTGAAATATTATTTTGATCTAATCAAAATTGATAAATTAAAACACCCTTTAATTTATCATCAATTCACACTCGTCGTCCCAAATTGATATCTAGCAAAGTGTCTGGGCAATACATGTGACGGAAAATGTCACGTGGTATGACAAAACCAAACTCGTTCGTTTACTGTGAAACTATAATCCCTTCGTCAATATGATCCGATCAATTACGAAATATGGAAGTGTGTCAATCTCGATTATCGATCACATCTTTCACTCCACTATTAAGTCAATATAAGTCGAAAACTCCTTTTCGACTTATGAGTACATCTTGGCCAAGGATTTCATCATCGACTTAATTGAATGAAATGTAGATCATAATCTCCTGCTATCTAAGAGCGACGAATCCTTTATTGATCAATCACAACCTTCATACGATTCTTGACGTACCTGAACGATGTCGTATTAGCGGCCCTTTGCAGAGTAACATCCAACACCGCCAAAGTATGACTGTCCTCATATAAGGTACCATGATGACCTCAAGTCAAAGGACCAATTCCACTACCGAACATTTAGAGATTAACCACTGACACTCAGATAGTTATTCATGTGAAATCTCTCGACAGGTCTCCAATGTTTTGTTCTATAACAAAGCATCCACGTGTTCATTTAAGTGTCACCACACTTTAACTTGTGAGATCATCTACTTACTTCATAAATAAGAAATGTTACACGTGATGGTCTATTCGTAATAACGATATCCGTATCTCATTATTACTTGCGACCACAGACGATTTAAGATTCAATCAGATGTAATTTGTATCTTACAATCACAACTTCTTGTGATTAACAAATTACAAAGATTTGAATCTACAGACTTTATTATTTATTTAATTGTCTATTAATTAAATAATAGATCTGCTATTAAATTGCATTAATTATATATCAAAAGTATTTATGTCCAAAATTGATTAGACCTAGGGCATAATACTTACAAACTCCCACTTGCACTAGATCCAATCACTTATGTATATAATATCATAAATCTATATGACGGTCATGTTTATGCTACGACAACTCTTTGTCAGTGGATCTGCAATATTGTTAAATGTGGAAATTTGTTCTTTTCTTTACATCATTTCTATGTATTATCTCTTTGATGAGATTATACCGTCTTAATACATGTTTGGATCATTGATGAGACCTTAGTTCCTTTACTTTCGCAATGGCTCTATTGTTATCACAATACAATGGTATGTGATCAATAATATCAGGAACTACTCCAAGTTCATTTATAAACATCATGATCCAGATTTCAACTCTTTGCTACTTTTAAAGTAATCATATATTAGGTTTCTACTATTAAATCAACGGCTGCTTCACGTTTGGAACCTTTCCAACATACCGTTTAAGAGTAAACTAATTTCTCCATATAAAATTTTCGCAATATTTTATATTGATTGGGACGAGTTAAGCAACCTTCTAGATCCATCTCTATAGATCAAGTTGTTTCTCCCATATCGTCCAAGAATAAATCCTTTAATAACCATTATTTCAACGATTGAAACATAGGGATGTCGTTTTCTATAATATTAGGAATACGACAATGTTCCCACTATCTTTTTGTAAACACACAATTCGTCTTCAAATTTGATAAAATTAAATACTTTGACTTTTTCAATCAAATCGAAGATTTCAACTCAATAGAGACTTATCTTAACCTTTAGTTACAATATGCAACTGTTACAAATAAAACTCGAATGGACTTCAGCAAGGCTACAGAAGAAAGGTTTCACCAAAGTCAACACTTAACCTTTGCTTCCAACCTTACTTTGTATATATCGATATTCCCATCCATATCGATATTTTTCTTGTAAACTATTTACAAAACTTATGGGTTCTATTCCATCAGGAGGCTCGACCAAGGTCCAAACCTTGTTCACATACGTCGAGTTCATCTCGAGTGTCATGGCCTCTTGCTGTCTCCTTTAAGTCAACACTTGACTTTATTTTATTGCAACTAGCAGGTTCATTATCCTAGATTACTAATACCTGATTAATGATCATGGATTCACATTTTCTTGAAGGTCGAATGATCCTACTAGATTCATATAGAGCTATTATGTCCTCAGGAGTCTTTACTTCCTGATCCAAATTATGTCCCATATCAGATATGGGATCGAACTCGAATTTATTTAATTGGTTAATTATATCTGTGGACTCTTGAACTCTTTCTAGTTCTATTTTGTTTCCACTGTCCTCCCCTAGAGTAAACATTTTCTCTAAAAAGATGATATGCTGTGAGACGAAAACTTTCTTCATGATAATAGAATTTATATTCAAATGCCTCCTTTGAATATCCCCAAAATACGTATTTATTAGATTTAGTGTCAAACTTATCCGATTTAAGGCGTTTCAAATAAGCGTCATGTCCTCAAGCTTTCATATAAGATAAATTGAGAGTATTGCCTTTCCATAACTCATATGGAGTTCTGTTAACCAATTTAGATGGGACATGATTTAGTGTGTTGCACATTACAATCAATACATGACCCCAAAACAATTTTGGGAGATTTGCATGGCTTGTTATTAATCACATTATTTCTAATAGTTAACGATTCCTCCTTTTAGATACACCACTATGTTGCAGTGTATGTGGAGGAGTCCACTGCAAGAAAATCTCATTCTCTCTTAGATAATTTAAATATTATCTTTAAGATATTTTCACTTGATCGAATCTTAATGTGAGGGTATCTTTACATTTTTGTTTCTCTACTTCTAGTTTGAATTTCTTGAACTTTTCAAGAGTTTCATGTTTGAGTTTTCATCAAGTATACATGATCATTGATGAAATAAGAGAAACATTACCTGACATTAATTGACACGAGTCCATATGCATCACTATGCATTAGACCAGTAATTATGCTGACCTTTCTTCTTTTTAAGTAAAAGAAGA